TATGTTTGTAGCTTAAAGTAGCATTAGGCATATTTTAATATCATGTATTAGGTTCAAATATATATATAAGAAAAATACAAATATTTATAACGTATGCAGAAGGGGGAAAGTCAGGAATCGAAGCTAATTTTGTTGTACATTTAGTGCAATAACGATATATGCAATCTTTCTCATATGTATACATATAACAAGTTACTTACGGAAGCATACAGATTCTCGCGTGCCCTTCATGATTAATGTAATGTTAATTAAATATATGAACTTGACACGCGAAACTGGTTCAATTGTATATAAATTTTCCACGCCAAAAAATTAGAGTCTTATGATTCGAAGATATGAAAGCCCGTTCTTTTCATAAAGTATTAATAAAATTTTGTATCAGAGTAGTCGATTGTTAACAGATCAATATGTTCACATAAAAATAACACTGTCTTGTTGGATAATATATATAAAAACTTTTATATTATGCATATCCATAAGACTACGTCCGATAATGAAATAATAATGCACAGTTGCAATTTGCTAATAATTTGTACTGCAGTAGAATTTGATGATCGTTCATTGATTCAGAAATTATGAAAAATAATCACCATGCTTCCAGCAAGAAGCGTAGTGCTTGAATTTCAATGCAACATTTATTAATTGTAACAGATAGATGTATATTTTTGAATAACTTGCCGCGTACTATACTATAAAGTGTAATTTCTCTATGATTTATATATACCAAATATTTTGAATGTGTACCTTAAAGTCTGCAAAATTGACGACCGGGTTTCTGATTTTCCCTGATGCTAACAAATTATAGCATGAATATTCATGCATAAGGTGATGAATACTCTTCACATTTTTTTGTACTGTACACAAGTTTTAAATACATACTTATAATATATGTGTAATAAAATATACTTAAGTCGATATCAAACTGATTGGACGCCTGTTGTAGATCATTTCGCGGAGCATCTCATTATAGGCAGTTACCTCACAGACACTGTACGCTAGAATCTTCTCCGCATGATCTTCAGTATCAGGTAATTAATTTTGACATCGACTTCGAATCAAACTTACGATAAAAAAAAACAAACGATAAGAAAGTATAACGCAGACTACACTAAGGTATTTAATTTTTCAACAATCGATATGCACGGATCAATGTAAAAATGTAATCATAACAATAAAGCAAAACAACTGTTGTTTCATTTCACTCGAAGAAATCACAGATTCAAAAAGGGACTATGCGTACTTCTCATTTGTAACGCTATTATCTTTTAATTAGTGTATTCGTATGTGTTAAGCGATTAACGTCCGTCTATATTTGCATTAATTACACGCCGTATAAATACGAGATATAGCAGTACACCTATAAAACGAATGCATGTAATATAAAACATGAGGAACATCTTCATAAAAAATCAGAATTGTTTTGCCAAGTATATTAAACGTTTTGTAAACATGAAAGCAGCATTCGAATAAATGCCTCATGGTCCATGTATACCTTTTTGTGGGCGTAGGAGACTTTTCCTTATACTTTTCCCAATTTCATATTACAAAATGGGAAACAATAACAAGAAACACGTAGACTCAGTCCTAACCCTTCTACCTTTATTAACTTTCACATCACAGATAATACAAAAAAGATTGATTACAATTAATCTTCGTCTCTATCTAATTACATGTAATGAAAATTTGTTTTGGGCTGTTGAAGTGTAATCTTGTTTCGGGAAAGGAAAGAATGCAATCTGATAATATTTGATGTATGTCAATTTCAAAGTGTTGTATCACAAATCTATTTTTTAAAAATGTCTTCTATATATATACAATATATGTATATTACAAGAACGGAAATCTAAATCAGGTATTAACAACCTATGATTCGTGAAGAGATAATAGTAATTATCATACTTATAACATAACGACACTTTGATTTAAATAATTATCTTCTAAATTTTAAGTCACACAACAGTTCTATTTGTAAATTATATATTATGTAGCCTACGGTCGTAAGAGGTTGGAAATAGTAATTAACATCAGATAACAATGTTTTTTCTTAGAAAACGAAATAAATGAACCATAATTTCTCATCGCAACATAATCACTCTGTGTATATTGCGTCCTACTTGGTTACGATTTGATACAAGAATTTATTGTTATCTGCGACTTATAAGAGACGTTCCTGATTTTTACACTTATATTCAATTGACCGCGAAAATCGTTTCTCTAGAGTTTCAACTTGCGCACCTTGAAGGTCGCCCCTAAACAAAGATGGTCACTGCCAACTGCGAAATTCGGTATGGTCGGCAACATGTTGCATTCCTCCACTGTGGGTAATCGGTATTTCTCTAACGGCTCTACATTGCTATAGAAAATGTAGTCAACCGTGATCCATGACCCTTGATTGGTCGTTGCTTCCTGCTGCCCTTGATGATTTTGGTGTTTATATACACTGGAGAAATGAAACGGATGCGTCAAAGTACCGGAAGAGAATTTTGCCTGACAGCCTCGTACAACCTCGATGACTTGATGATCTGACGTGTCAGCGTTCACATCACTGCACACACTGGAACTGTTGCCCATTAAATTCTCTTCCAAGTTCATCTCCTCGCTGTTCTCCAACTACAAACAATGTCAAATTAATAATTGCAAAATTGTGAGAGTAACTGAAAGCCTCTATATAAAAATGAAATTGTTCGTTCGCCTGCCTGATGGTATCACAAATAAATTGTGATTGCCAGGCAAAGAGTCAAATGTTATGAGCCTACCATAATTTTAGCAGAGCCTTCACCGCGCAGCCGTTTCTTCAATATATTAAAATGTTGACAGTTATCGGTGATACATAGTCGAGGTGGTATCAAGGAATTGGACAGGGATCGGAACATTGTGTGCTTCAGATTCTTTCCTTTTCCTTCGTACTCGAAGACCCCTTCTGTAAGAAACTCGTAAACTCCAGAGTATGGTACTAAGTTAAAATCTCCTGCCAATATGATTGGCAAGTATTTGGCACCAGTCCTATAGAACAATTACAGTAAATGGTTAAAGCATTTCGAGAACTAATAGTATAAACTCAATATGTATTATTAGCAATCTCGAGCATCGATAAGGAGGATCACTTACAATGTATTCTCTAGGAAAGCTATCCTCTCAATTTCGGCGAGCAAAAGTTGCGTTTGCCCCAATCTCACGTCGTTTCTCTTGGGATTGTAAAGTAAATGAGTGGTGGCGATTACAAACTGTGTATCAGGACAGTCCTTAACGGCTAGCTTTGCAATGATCCCGACATTGTCTCTGCTCAAGAGCTCTATACCCGACTGATAGAGCTCGACTTTCGCATAATCTAGAAGCACAAACTGATCTGCTCGGTACAAAAATAGTAGACCGTCTCTCTTGTCGTTCGTTCTCCTCTTATAAACGTAATTGTAACCGAGCTCTCTGAACGGAACCAGGAACTCTTCCAGGTGATCCTCTTGCACCTCTTGGAGGCATATTACCTAAAACACAGATTAAATACACTCCAACAATTCTCACGAGATATCACATTATTTTGTTTGATCGTCGCATTAATAAATTCAGCAAAGAACCAACGAGATTCGGCAGAGAGAGAAACAGAGTCAGCATTTGATCTTTCAAAGCTCAGCATAGAATAGACTTCTATCCTGGTTCGAAAGTACGACGAAGATCTTAGCGTTAGGCGATTAACACTAAACCTACCAAGCAGTAATACTAACTGGCATGTACTGCTTCACAAAAGTGAGAAGACCGAATTTATTTAGAATTTGTAAAGTTTTTNAGAGCTCGACTTTCGCATAATCTAGAAGCACAAACTGATCTGCTCGGTACAAAAATAGTAGACCGTCTCTCTTGTCGTTCGTTCTCCTCTTATAAACGTAATTGTAACCGAGCTCTCTGAACGGAACCAGGAACTCTTCCAGGTGATCCTCTTGCACCTCTTGGAGGCATATTACCTAAAACACAGATTAAATACACTCCAACAATTCTCACGAGATATCACATTATTTTGTTTGATCGTCGCATTAATAAATTCAGCAAAGAACCAACGAGATTCGGCAGAGAGAGAAACAGAGTCAGCATTTGATCTTTCAAAGCTCAGCATAGAATAGACTTCTATCCTGGTTCGAAAGTACGACGAAGATCTTAGCGTTAGGCGATTAACACTAAACCTACCAAGCAGTAATACTAACTGGCATGTACTGCTTCACAAAAGTGAGAAGACCGAATTTATTTAGAATTTGTAAAGTTTTTATTATAAAACTTGCTCCAACAATATAACTTATTCAAGCGTTTTCCACAAAAGAGTTTCGGAACTTTTCAGAATTGCAAAATAAAGAAAGCGGTCACTTTGACCGCGGTAGGTTTAATGTTAAAATACAATAGCGAATGATCTCTAAAAGACTAACATTAGCCTGCGCTCCTAAAATCTCTTGCAAGAGAAGCTGCCTCCTAATCTTCCAAGATAGTGCCCGTTTGTCGTGACCCTTGTACAGAAATGGATAAGTTTCCAGCAGACATTGTGCCAAAATGTTGAAAGATAGTAGTCTCAGAATAAAAAACTCCTCGGAATTAGAGGCCAGCTTCTCTGGAAAAAGGGTACACCAAAAAACGGTATCAGTCGTAAACGGGGAACAAAAGAACAAAAATGAAGTCAAGAACAAACAAAAAAAGAAAGAAGAATGACGAGAGAGAGCTCACCTTTCTTGAATCGCGTCCACTGTCTCATCGTTTTGTACTTTTGTCTGTCCAGCAGATACTTATCTTTTAGCGACATTTGCGAGTCGAAGCAAGCCTCCTCGGCTCCGAAATTCTGCGGTTCGTCGAAGGTATCCACGTTGAAGTTCAATGTCGATTCGCAGCTGGTGTTGGCACTGTAGTAGGCCCCGAGGAACGAATCCATCGACGTGTGATGATTAAATTGACAATTTGTCACGGTTCCCATCAAATTGCGGCCGGATCTTTCCCTTGGCAACCGGAAGTTGTGCTCATCTCGCAAATGCACTTGTTGTCTGCTGGCTACTTCGGTGACGGTTGCACACGGAACGATGTCATAGTAAATCTGCAAGCACGATCCTCGATCAATAAACAAGATCGAATCGTTCGCGAGATGTACAGAGATCTTTTTTTTTTTAATATTTTTCTACTGTATTATGCAGACGACGACGAAGAAGAAGAAGAAGGAACGACGACGATGCTATCGAACGATCGTGAACCGATCGTCAACAGAACAATCAGTGCTCTGTGTGCGGAATATTGAACGTATTAATGTGACAATTATAATATATGCTCTACGATGGTCATTTAAGCAGTCTTATGTAACAATGTTCGTACGTCGTGCAGCAATATTACCCGATAAGATGGATTTTCAATAGCGTTTCCTGCTGTAAAGCTTCGTTCGCAGAAGATCTTTCTTATTTCAGCGATTTCTTGACGTTTTTTTTTTCTCTTTTTTTTCCTGAGAAATCGAGGACTTTGCCTCTTGCCTCGCAACGAGAATAGCTGAGCGATATTGTTCTTTGATAAAGCACGCTGGCAGATCTTTTTTAACAATACGTAACGGAACTGATTCCAGAGACTCTGGACCGCCGATCTTTTTTTCCCAACGGCTCTTAAACACAGAGAGAAGGCCGATGTTCTGCTTGCAATGAAACAAAAATTTAACTCTTAACAAAATCACTTGCATCTCGTTTCGTATTTTTAAATATACACAAAGTATATTTTCAAATATACACAAAGGATAGCGAGAACAATATGAACAAGGTGCAACTGACGTGGCTAATTCTTGAGCGATTTCGATTTTTTGGCGACGAAGGCTATCGGAGTGTAATCGATCTGTTTATTCTAACGAGCTTCGTTGCCCTTCACGCACTTTACAGTTCGCAAAAATATTAACGTAGAAAATGATGTTCGTCCTCTCTGTTCTCAAGATCCTTCCGATCACCGAAAATCTTTCTTAGCGATGATCTTTCTGTTTCCGTTCACCGCCAATTCCTCGGTTACGATTGTTCGAAGGTGGATCGGTTCTTACATCAACCGTTTACCGTTGTTTTGTGTCGAGAGTCGCACGATCAGGTGATCGTGATTTAAATACCACGCTTCGCAAGACTAGGTAATAATCTTTAATCGCGCGGTGTTCGGCGATCGTAATGCCAGCGAAGAACCCGACGAAATAAATGTGGCTTTGCCGGATAAACGGAGTTATCCTTGGTGACTAAACGATTCGAGACCGGGCTACGACAGTTATCTTGGAATGCTCGAATACGAGGACAAACGGGAAACGTACTGCAACAGATTTAGGAATCGATTTGCCATCGGAACCAAGCCAATAATCAGAAAATCGTGATCTACAAATGAGAACAAATATTCACGCAACGTGTTTTCATGCATGATTCCCGACGGCGAAGGCAAGAGAAAACACCATGATTCGTTGGACTTCGCCGATTCCATTCTAATTCATCTGCTTTTTAGGTGTACGTTGCAACAAGTCCGGTTCTGCTGGTGCAGTGAGAAATTCTGTATTTGAATATTGCAGTAGTCGGCTTTCAAGCAAGTCGAAATCATGTGTGTACGTGCGAGGAAAAGGTGAGAGTGGACAGAACACTGTATTGTATTCGATTTATCCAATTCTAACTTGGCAATTGTTTTAGGTGTACGTTAACGCAACTGCGACACGAACTTTATCTGTGCGCATGTGAGTCATGAAATTCATGGAAGATGAGACACTGTGAAAAAATCACGGTACGCAGATAGAGAAGCGGAAGATAAATTATTTCAGTGACAACGAAATTCAACAAAACTTGTGCGAAGCGCCACTCTGCTTTTGTAAGTTCGATACGATGCGATTTATGTTTAATAATCATTGGAGGGATTGTGTTTACAGGACCGCAGGATTCACTCTGCCTCGAGAGGAAATACAGCAGATGATTCTTAGAGTACAATCAAAGTGGAACTGAAAACGATTTTCTTTAGTTGAGGAAAAGTCGGGAATCACTTTTTTTTCTTTTTAAATCCGATTTGACTGTTCGACGACCGCGTGCCCTTCGAGCATAGTTATGTCTGACCATCGCTTACTAGTTCTACTTGAGATCAATGTCTACCGCGTGCTGCATTTACTTATGTACTTTAATATCGGTCCGTATAATTGATGGAAATTAATTGGTGACGTTGCGCTGGTAATTCGAAACATTATTCTTAACTGAAAGCTATCTTAACGATCGTCCAGGCAATCTGATCAAAATATCCTAGATTCGCGATCGAATTGTTGATTAATATGATACATAGGTGCAAATGCATCGGGAGAGCTTATTAATGAAGTTTTTTCAAATATATACTGCGCTACTTACCAAAAAAAAATCTTTTATTTTTGGACCAATATATCTTATCCGGTATGCGACACTCGACTTACCACACTCGTTATGAAAGTTAATGAAGATAGTCTTCGAATAATTATCAATTTAATGTCAGGTCACGTGTACCGTGCGAGCAATGTTAACAGCAGAAAAAAAATCGATGTGGGGTGTGTTGTGTTACCATGCATCCGTTTGCAGCTTAAGCGATAAGATAATACGGACCATCGAACGTAAATCGTGATTTTATCAATGTTTCGGGATTATGAACGCGAGGGAGAAACTGCGCAGATTTTTTACAACGTACAAAAATGTCAAAATAGTCCACGTCCATGTTCCTAATAATATTCAGAATTATTGATGGAAAATCCAAATTAATCCGCGTCATTTTTCCACTTGAAATTTCTATTTGTGAGATTACACTGTCGGAATATCATTTCACCTTAGGGTAGATGAAAAATTATACGTCTACATTGTCTTTTCAATTATATACACGTGAATAAAACGTTCAACGAAAACAAGAAAATAGAAAAATCAATTTACACGAATATCCAGCCTGTTAACGTCTTTGTGTAAACGTTACAAGGACAATGCTGTTTTTATAGCAACAAATCAGCCAATAAATCTTTAAACTTTATTTTTTATGAACCTATAATATTTTTAATACCAAAGAACAGATGATTAAACGATTAACGATATTTAGTTTGAAAAGAGCAAACTTTGAAACGGATATTTTTCAAAATTATGATTCTCTAAGTTATTGCTT